GTGACTTTCCTGCATATGGTATGTTGTCTGGGTGGACTACACATGGGAGATTAGCTTGTCCATATTGTAATGGAATGACAGATGCGTTTCAGTTGAAGCATGGTAGGAAGACTAGTTGGTTCGATTATCACCGTCGATTTCTTCCCATTCACCACCCATACCGAAGAAACAAGAAATTGTTCAGGCACAAAAGGGTTGTCAGAGACACTCCTCCTCCATATTTAACTGGAGAACAAATCGAAGCACAAATCGATTACTACTGTGCTCTAGAAACAGCTCCTCGTGGTTGGAATTGGCATGTTCCCAGTAATATGCCTGATTCTTATGGTGTTCAGCACAATTGGCACAAAAAGAGTATATTTTGGGAATTGCCATATTGAAAAGATCTTCTTTTGCGCCACAACCTCGATGTGATGCATATAGAGAATAACTTTTTTGAGAACATCATGAACACTATATTGAATGTCCCAGGGAAGACGAAAGACAACGTAAAATCAAGGTTGTACTTACCTGATATCTGCTCAAGGAGTGAGCTACATATAAAAAGCAATGGGCAAGTTCCAGTTCCAATATTCACACTGTCATCCGAAAAAAATTCTGCGTTGTTCAACTGGGTGGCTTCAAAAGTGAAGTTCTCTGATGGGTATGTTTCAAATCTCTCAAGATGTGTTGAGAAAGGGCAAAGGTTCTCCGGGATGAAGAGCCATGATTGTCATGTCTTTATGCAGCGACTACTTCCCTTGGCGTTTGCGGAGCTACTACCGGCAAAAGTACATGAAGCACTTTCAGGTAATTAATTAATATAATACGATGACATGATTAATTTATTTCTATATATATATATACTAATGTGGATAATTTTTGTTTTCGTATGTATATAAGGATTTGGAGCATTTTTTAGGGATCTGAGCACCCGCACTCTTAAAGTGGAAGTTGTCCAACAACTTCATGAAAACATCCCCGTCTTAATCTGCAACTTGGAGAAAATATTCCCGCCAACTTTTTTCGACGCCATGGAACACCTAGTTGTCCACCTCCCGTATGAGGCATTACTTCGTGGACCCGTGCATTATGGATGGATGTATCAGTATGAAAGGGCCATGAAAACGTTGAAAGGAAAAGCCAAAAACCTAGCAAGAGTTGAAGGTTCTATTGTTGCGGGAAGCTTGACGGAAGAAACATCACATTTTACTTCATACTACTTTGCACCGAAAGTACGTACAAGGAAACGAGCTCCAAGAAGATATGATGATGGTGGTGTCGTGCCGACATATAGAAGACGATGTTCCTGACATCTTTTGTCAAGTTAGGCGATTGGGTGGAAAATTGAAAGAGATTTCGTGGTCGACTGATGAAGACGTCCATAGTGCACACCTTTATATTCTTCTTAATTGCGAGCATCCATTGATTGCTTATTTTGAAAGGTAAATATATAAACATACACACTTATATATATATATATATATATATATATATATATATATATATTAAATATATAACATAACATATATGATTTTACAGTCAATTTGAGACTCAAGTCGAGGAAGCAATACCTGGTATATCGACAACTGAGTTAGACAAAAGGAAAGATCAACACTTTATCAAGTGGTTGAGGAAACAGGTATTTATTTATTACTTAATTTGTATGCATACATTAACACAAAGTAAGTCTAATGTCTAATTATTTTACTTTGTTGCAGGTTGATTATGACGATCCTAAGTATCCCGCATGGTTTCGCGAATTACTTCAAGGCCCAGTTGCAAAGGTCACTACATCGTCGATGTATTTCACCCGAGGCTATACTTTTCATACCTATGACTATGGTAGTCACCGGGCGACAAGTAATTATGGAATATGTGTGAAAGGCGAAACAGATTTCTACGGGATCNTCCCGCATGGTTTCGCGAATTACTTCAAGGCCCAGTTGCAAAGGTCACTACATCGTCGATGTATTTCACCCGAGGCTATACTTTTCATACCTATGACTATGGTAGTCACCGGGCGACAAGTAATTATGGAATATGTGTGAAAGGCGAAACAGATTTCTACGGGATCTTGCAGGAGATTTATGAAGTTCAATTCCCGGGTGTGGGTACGACCCCGTCGTAAACAGAGGTGTGCGGATTCACAAGAACGGTGTAGTTGATATCAACGGTGGACGCAGGTACACCAAATTCTTTTCTTTTTTAATATCCAGGTTTCCAGTATTAATTAATTTTTACATATTGATCTTTATTTTCGTAGGTACAACAAGTTCGAACCTTTCATATTAGCTTCCCAAGCAGATCAAGTTTGCTTCATTCCATACCCTCGGATTACTACCTCGGGAATAAACTGGTTAGCTGTTATCAAAGTTACACCTCGAGGACGAATAATCGCTGGAGAAGAACCACCATTACAAGAAGAAAACACCAATGAGATCGAGGAAGCTGAAGCATAAATTGATGAGTTCCAACTCATTGATGCGCATAATCGTGAATACGAAGATGTTCCTGATCACTCAACGGACGAAGGTGTAGACGACGAGTTTTTAGAAAATGATGATGCTTCAACAGATTACGACAATGTATCCGAATGAATTATGTATGTTTATAACTTAGATTATATATGTTTTAAGTTGGATTACATGTGTTTTAAGTTTGTTTAATCAAAAAATCAATTTGCATTTGGGGTTTTGGGGTTTATGTGTTGAAGAGGTTATGAGTTTGGTTGTAGAAGAGGTTATAAGTTAAGGTAGTTGTGGTTTGGGGTTTGGGGTTTCGAGTTTAGGGATTTATAAACCCTTTCTTCGTAAAGCCCTAGTAAGAGAAAACACGGGCATAGCAATTTCCTCGTATGGTCTAGTAAGATGTTACTAGGGCTTTACGAGGAAAAAAACACGGGCATAGCAATTTCCTCGTAAAGGGTTTTCCTCGTAAAGCCCTAGTAACCCATTTACGAGGACCTTACGAGGAAATAAAAACACAGGCATAGCTATTTCCTTGTAAAGTCCTAGTAACATTACTAGGGCTTTACGAGGAAACAAAATTCCTTACATATACTCGAGCAATCCGGTTTTTCATTTGCTACCAACGTTCTCTCTAAAGCCTCTAAAGGTTCTCTCTAATTCGTAGTTAGATGATTAGATTAGGGAATTTAGATTAGGTGGTTAGATTAGAGAATTTAGATTAGGTGGTTAGTTTAGGTAATTTAGATTAGGTGGTTAGTTTAGGTAATTTAGATTAGGTTTGTTTATTTTTATTTAGTATTTTTTTAAATTATACAGGGAATTAATGTTTTGATTTTTGTTTTTTTTTTTTTAATTTAGATGCCTAGACAGAGCAAGCTTGCTAATGCTGCTGGTAAGAGGACGTCGTCACATCTCGAGGGGAGTCACTACGGAGATATGTTTGGGCGTCAGGATGCTCCGGGTTCATCTTCGTCAGCTCCCGGTTCAGATTCGATTCCCGAGACTCAGGGAGCTTCTATGGCGTCCCGGCAACCACCTCCTGCTCCACCACAGCCTCCTCCACCGGTCGGGATTCATCCCGATTTGCAGGTTCCGCCGAACGCACCCTTTGCGGTGTACACGGTGGAGGATATTTTGGCCCTTCCAGGCAGAGAAGGGCTGGCGGAGTTAGATCCTTACCGACGGAACGGCCAAAACGTATTATGGTACGTTTTAACTTTTAAAAAGTTTTTTATTTTATTTTTTAATTAACAAAATATTTAGAAATTAATCTAATTAATGATTTATTTTGTGTCTTTCCAGGTTTGGTCTTGACAATTGTGTCGGATCTAGCGTCACAGACTGTATCAAGGGATACTTTCCCGATCCAGCTCCAAACTGGAAGATGACCGCGAGCCACATAAAAAGACGTGGTTCAAATCGTTCGCTGTAAGTTTAATTCGTTAATTTATTTTTAATTATTTATAATTATTAATATTATTGAACTAATCCGTCTTTTATTTTTTCTGGTTACAGCAAAAGTATCGTTGGTCTATTGGGATTCACCAGCGGGTGAAGAATGAGTTTGAGGACAAGGCAAAAGCACGATTGCTCGATATGGTCTACAACTGGAAGGGCGACTATCAGGTATATATAGATTTATAAATTATAATATATATAGTTTTAAAAATATATATTATATATTAATTGACTTTAATTCTAATTTTTTTTTAAAATCAGGTGGATGGTTACGAGGCCGGGAAACCCGATTGCCTCACAACCACAATGTGGGATGGCCTCATCAGCTATTGGGGGTTTCCGGACTCGGTCAGAACCTCCAACACAAACTTCGGGAACCGCATGACCAAAGACGAGCATGTCAACACGAAGGTGCTTCGCACCACGGGCCGAAAACCTCACGGGGGAGTTGGTCTAGACATGGTAAGATGATTTTTTATAACTTTTTAATTTTTACTTAAATATATATTCTAAATTAATATTTAATTTTAAAAAAAAAAATAGGCTAAAGAGACGGGAGTTCTTCCATCTCTGAAAGACCTTTACGAGCGGACCCACATGAGAAAGAGTGGGCAGTTTGTAGATCCTGCTTCCGAGCGGATCTACAACGAGCTTATTGCCCGAGTTGACAAACGCCAGGCTCAGCTGACTCATCAGACCGGGAGTCAAGTCATATTATCCATTGTTGACGTGGATAAGATTTATGAGGAGTTAAATAATTTGTTTTACTATTACTTTTAATATTTTTTAAAATTTTTTCTTAATGTTATTAATTAATATTTTTATTTACAGGTCGCCCCTAGGAAAAAGGGGCGTATCATCGGGATTGGCTCGGTTAACGATATCCCTGCAGCGACATCGTCTTATCATCAGGAGCAACACGATGTCAATGCTCAGCTGCGCTCGGAGTTGCAGGCGACGCAGTCTCATGTGAGTTCTCTCACCGAGCATGTGACTTCTCTCACCGATGTTCTCGAGATTATGGCGGTTGGAAACCCGCATTTGGAGGAGATGTTGCGTCAGAGACAGGAACGCGGAGGGATTCCAACCCAACAGCATCCACCATTACAGTCACAGCCGACAACCAACTTAGGAGAGGAGCAGGATTTGGCGAGCCAGGACGAGTTCGTTCGGCAATTTCACGACCAACATCCGTAGTTTTTATTTATTTTTAATTGTATATTATGAATTTTAAAACTTCATTGTATATTATTTAGTTATTTATAAAATATTTTGTTTTTAATTTTTTATTTATAATTTGATTTTTTATTTTTTAAAAATAAAATAATTATTTATAATTTTTTTTTTTTTTAATAGGGAAAAAACATTTCGAAGCAAAATCCTCGTAAATGATTCCAAGTAATGTCCTCGTAAATGGTTCTAGTAAGTTCCTCGTAATTTATTACTACGCTCTTATGAGGAAAATCTTACTACGAGCTTACGAGGAAAGCCTACGAGGGTTTTACGAGGAAAAGTTCACCACGGCTTTACGAGGAAAAGTTTCCTCGTAAATTCGCTAGGACTTTACGAGGAAAAAATCTTTACGATGAACGTGTTTTGAGGAAAACCCGTCCTAGTAACGGACTAGTTTTCTTGTAGTGAAAACTCAATTTGAGACTATAAAATTATATTAATTTATAGAGATATTTAGTGTATATTAATTTATCGAATATTAATTTATAAAAGTTCTACTGTACTATAGTATATCGACATTTGAAATCATTTGATCCCAAATTCGGCTACTTATTTTCTTGTAAACCTTATATATGGTTGATAAACCTTCAAATTAAAGCCTATAAATCATACTATTCCTTCCGAAGAACTATTATAAATTTCAAAAAAATATAGATATGATGAGTTATGTAAGAAGACAGTTGTCCATGAGTACGTATATGAGGTTTTCTTTTATAGGAGTGAACTCAATTCTCAAACTCTTCACATTTTCCACACACACGTTGTTTGCCATTCCATAAGACTATCTCCTAGGTTGTATGAAATCAGAAACGGAAACGTGAAAACGTGATTTAAAAAAAAATAGAAAATAGAAACGTTTTAGAAACGTCTATAATATATATGTATGCATAATTAATCAACATGTAAATTTAGTTTTTTTGTTTGATTTATCTAAAAAAGAAATTAAGTAATATAAGTATTTTTGCTACATTTTATTAAAATAATGATCAATAACTAGAAAAGTAACACATGTTATCATTCGATAAAACTATGGAGCGACTACGTTCCAAATCAAATCATTATACTAAAATAATAACAAATATCAAAGATAATATCAAAATATATGATAATAAATATGTAAAATCACTAACATCAAATGTCAAATAGTTATTTCGCGTTTCTAATTAGAATCGCGAGTTTCCGAATTAGAATAGCGAGTTTCCAAATCAGAAACGCAAGTTTCCATCGTGTTTCCAAAATGAAATTTTCAAGAAACGTCTTTCCAAAGAGATTCCGAAACGTTTCCGAAATAGAAAATATACATCGAACGGAGTTTCCATACAACATAGACTATCTCAATGAAAATTTGACATTTTATAAATAATTCCGAATCACATATTAGTATTTGGCATTTGAAATATAGCCTTTGTATTTGAATGATAAACTTACAAACAATAGATTGATAATAATAATCACTATGAGTAGTGTGCACATGGCTTTATATAATTTGAATCATATAAAAATATAAATAGATGTTGCCGCGCTACAGTCAAACCCTAGCCAAGTAGCAACTGAATCCGAGCCCGCCTAGTGCGTAGGATTCGTTGCTTTAAAATGACACAAAAGCCGAAGCACCAGGCTCGGTTACACCGAAGCAAACTTTTTTTTTTAGCAAAAACTACCCCTAGTCCGAACCTAGATGAATACGGACCACATCCTGGCTCGTTTCCTCTGTCTTCTTTCCTCCTCTGGACAAATCACAAACTTGAAAGAATCTGCAAATTGATTCTTCTCCTCTTCCTCTAAAACCCAATAGCCTCAACTTTTTAAACCGTTGGATTAGATTACACACTCTAAAGACTAAACCATAGCCGTCAGATTAGGTCTTTTCGATTTTCTTCTTACTTTTTTTTTCCGGGGAGCTGTTGAACACTAACGGCGATGGAGACTGGTGGGTCACGAGAAAGTTTGGATTTTTAGGGTTTGAAGATTCAAAAAAAGAAGAAAAAAAAACTGTAAGAGTTTCAAATTTTGAATAAAGGTCACCTCTTTTTTTGGCTGTATATTTCAAAAGTCTTGTCTTTATCTATGTAAGCTTGTTAGAGTTTTTAATGGCTGTAGTTACAAAAAAATTGTATGTTAAAAGGATTTAATTATTGTGGACAGATTTGATTTCACATTCTTAATTATCATTTACTTATTTCATTTTTGATTTTCTTCCTTAATGTGATTTTTCATTCAATCCAGAGAAAATGTCAGCAGCTTCTGTTAGCTTAAGAGAAGAGGATCCTCTGTTGAAGGATCTGAGTGAGAAGAAGCAGAGTTTCAGGAGGAATGTTGAGTCTTTAGCCGCTGATTTGAAGCAAGCAAGGACTCGTCTCGCTGAACAGGAGCGTTCGTGTTCACAAGAAGTCATGTCTAGGCAGGCAAGCAAGCAAAGCAAAGCTCATTTATATTATCACTTTTTCTTTTAAAAAGATTTTTGGTTTCAAAGTTGAGACTTTTGGTGAGTTTAAATATATTGTGGTGTGCTTTGTACATGAGCAGGAAGCAGAAACAAGAGTTAAGAGAATGAAAGATGAAATGCTCCAACTTGGTAAGGAATTAAACAAGAAAGTTGAGCAGATTCGTGCCTCGGATGTTGCTACTGAGAAGGTTCTTGATTTCTCTACTTTGCTTGGTTCTGTTATTGTTACTTTAACTTATCATTTTTTCTGGTTTTTTTCTCTCTGTGTAGTATGTGAAGGAACTGGGTGATATCAAGTCACAGCTTGCAGCGACACAGGCAACAGCAGAGGCAAGTGCTTTGTCGGCTGCATCAGCTCAGTCTCAGTGCAGAGTGCTCTCCAAACATTTGCATGAGAGGACTGGTTCCTTGGAAGAGCAAGAGGACCAAGTAACTCTACTTGGTGAGCAGCTAGAGAATCTACAAAAGAAGCTGCAAGCTAGAGAATCTTCACAGAAGCAGCTTAGAGATGAGGTTTTGAAAGTTGAAGGTGACATTATGCGTGTAGCATCGGAGGTCAGAACAAAGGAGAATTCTCCAAAGAAATTTGAAAGAATCAACAAACTTTTGACGGCTAAAGATGATGAGATAGCAAGACTCAGAGATGAACTAAAGATTATATCGGCTCACTGGAGGTTTAAGACACAGGAGTTAGAAGATCAGGTAACAAAGACATGCAGTTTAGCTTCTCTTGTTTTTGTAATTTCTTTATGATTTTATGACAGTAATGCATGTGTTTTCATGGAGCAGGTGGAGAATCAAAGGAGGATTAACCAGGAGCTTAAAAAGAAGGTGCTGAAGCTAGAGTTTTGCCTTGGTGAAACACGCATCCAAACTCGAAAACTTCATAAGGTATAAACTTCACTTGCATGGACTTAGCATAGTAATTTATATGATTACAGTACCAATTGAGCTGTTTGTTTTTCTGCGGGGTTGGGTAGATAGGAGGACGAAGCGATATGGCAATACAAGAACTCAAGAAGCAATTGGCTGCAAAAAAGCAGCATGAAGCTGATCCTTTTAGCGGCCAAAACTTCTGGGACAAGACAGGTTTCAAGGTTGTTGTCTCCATGTCGATGCTGATATTAGTTGCCTTTTCTAGGCGTTAAATTAATGAATAATTCATTTTAGACTAAAAGTAGATGGACCGTATTCAACGGTGTGTATGATGGATTAAGTTTACATCTCTTTGTTACAACGTCTGAGTTTCTGCGTTGATCCTAAAAAGAGATGTTTAGAAGGAGGCTGTACAAAACCGAAACGGAGCGTTGAACAAAACAAATTTATAATGTCTTAACATTCCTAGCTTCTTCTTGGTACGTTACTCTAAATGAACTTGAACTTGTAGAACACTATGTCATAAAGCTAACTGGACTTCTATATATTCTACTTTCTAATGGAATAGCATTGAGTGAAGAATCATCAATGTTACCATCATAGTGTGACTAAAGTAAATCTGCAAGTAAGTAGACTCTGATGATGTTGGATTGTTCCCAAGAGGTGAACCATCAAACCCGTAAACCGCTGGACCTCCAGATGATGGATTGTTCAGAGTATTTGGTAAAGGATTCGCTGGGTTAAAAACTGCTGGTGGAGTTCCAACCCTTGAATATAGATAAGAGGTACATTCTTAGTTAGGAAACTCTAAAGAGGATTTGGGACAAGAACAATAGTGTTGAAAGAATGTCTTTTATTACCCGATTATCCCGCCTCCTGTTGGTATTATTGGTGTTGATGTAACAGGAGGCTGGTTCACTGTTTGTGTCGATGGTGTTGGCGTTGTTGATGTTGATGAGCCTGTCTGGTAAATGCAAGAACCAGTGCCTGTTTTGAAACAAAAAGTGGTTCAATCATATGGTTGAAAAAAACAAGAAACAGAGTATCCTCTGTTTTTTTTTTTCCTTCACTCACTTGGGTTGGTGCTAACTACCGAGGCTGCACCGCCAAAATCACAGCTTTGTGGAGAAGGGTTCTTCTGGTAATAGCTGTTGAAGGCAAATGAGGCATGGTTCTGAAGACTGATAGGCGAATAACAGTTGCCTCCTTGCTGTATCTGAGAGCAATCAGCTCCACCTAACCCGCAGGCATAGTCTAGAGCCAGTTGGAGTGAAGTCTGAGAGGCTCCAGGCTTTGCCACGCACCAGCTTTGACCTGAAGCCGAAGGAGAGTTTGGTGGAATCACAGGAACCGGAACCGTCCCTGAGGGTTGTGTTGGAGGATACTGAGTCACTGGGTTGGTCACGGGTGGTGTGAGTGTAGCAGGGACTGTTGTGACCGGAGGGGTAAGAGGAACTGATGTGGCTGGATTTGTTGGCGTTATGGTCACTGGAGGAAATGTAGTAGCCGGTGGTGTGGTTGTAGGGTTTGTAGGGAAGACCGTTGGTGGGTTGAAGACATCATGAGTTGTAGTTGTTGAGGAAGAGAGTGATACAAGAGAAAGAAACAAGAGGAAGTAACTCTGTTTTGCCATCATAGCTTGAGATTAGTTTTGTTTATCTTCTTTCTTGGGTTTATAAGTACATAATGTTGTGAAGAAGATGTGATCAAGAAAGGTGGACAAAAGGTTTGAGATTCTTAGGGAGGAGAAAAAGAGGGAAGAAGCTGACTGTAATTTACATGCAAGTGACTAAGTTTGAAAAAAAATAAAAGAGAAAAGATATGTTTGCTTTGCTATGAAGTCTTTTGGATTTGGCCTGTGCCTAATCTCATCTTTATATATGTGTGCAAAGACATAAGCTTTTTCCTTATGTTGACAAAGAAAAAGAAAGAAAAAACCAATTTTGTCAGATCCGTTTTAGACATAAGCATATGCATAAAGTTCTGTAAAAAGAAAGAAGCTGCAAATTGGTATTTATATATCTTTTTTCTCTTAACCAAAAAGGAAGAGAGTGGTGGTGCAGATTAAGATCATGAGATTAATTAATACAAAGATTTTTCTTCTGCTTAGCTCAGCAAAACCCACAAAGATTTAAAGAAATCTCCAAAGCGGAAAGTGATTTGAAAAAAGCAGAGAACGTAAAGCTCTCTTAGCTGTTTAATGGATTGATTAATTGTCCTAATTTTAAAATTATCCTCTACACGTTTTAATGTGGTTCTTCTTTACTAATTACAAAATAAAAATGTGAACAACTTTGTTCTTGAGATAAGAAGATAGATTCATGCAAGTAGGGACAACCCATGTGCAGTGGTGGATCTTTGATACTATCTTCTTAAAAGAATACATGGGTTCAACAGTAAAGCTACCATTAAACTATTGTTACATACCCAAGAAAAAGGTAACACTAGTTCTTGTATCCATTTGCAGATTAAATTCAAGATTAGTATTTAGTCTATCGAACTAATGTTTCTGGACCAGAAAGGCGGGAGAAATTCGCAGGTTTAATTGGACTTAGAATCTAATTTAAAGCCCATTATTATTACAAATAAGCCCAATAATGGTATATCTATTATGGTCCAAAGTCCGAAATGAACTTCTATTAAACCGGTGATTTAACCAATTGTGTTTAACAGTTTGAGGGATCTGCATTTGGGAATAAATAATACGATTCAAATGGAAGCTTTCCAAATTTGTTGGACTTTCTCTTTCAAGGAGACTACGATGAACAAAGATTAAGCAACCTCTTTCGTAATTTGCATTACAACTCAAAAGCTATTCTAGAAGACTACTACTTCTCTCTACCGATTTAAAAATGTTTTTAAGTCACAGTTTCAGCTATACATCAAATTTTTCATCCTCCTCACGGAAATGCATAATATGTAAATGTATAATATACATATATGCAGACGGTGTTTCATGTGAATTGTGATGTAGTTTGCAATGCAAGCTTCTTTTTTCCCTCACCACCTAAATTACTGGATTAAAAGAGAGACTGAAAATTTATCACCTACCACTTGATAACTCCATCTCTTCTTCTTCCACCAGAATTCACAGCTCACGTTTTAAAGTTTTCCCCTCTTTTTTTCTTTTGTTTATTTTATAACTTTCATCTTTCTTGCTCTTCTTCTTGTTCTTCACATAAGAAGTTCAACATTTTTCTTAACAGAAAAAAAACCCTGTTTCCTTAGTTTCATTCTTTTTCTTTGAAGAGTTTCTCTGATCAAGTTTCATTCTTAGAGGTAAATCGTAAATATATTCCCATCTTCCTTGGTTCTTGATTTGTTTCTGTTATCTGTATTTCTATCATCATTGTTTATCTTATGCATCTTCTAACTGGATAATGAAATATGTAATGATTGCTGCATTTTGTAATATTCTTGCCTTGTTGAGTTATTAAACTCCTTAGGTGGTCCTTTATGTTTAATATGGGACCATTAAATCAACTTGGAGCCTCTTCATCAATCTCACATCATTTTTCATGTTGTTCCTATCTACAATTTAATTCTTTCATTGTCTGGTACCATTTTATCAAGTTTTACTCTCTTTTAACTTTGATGATCTTGAATCAAGCAGATTAAGAAGGAACAATGTCTGGACTTAAGATCTGGCAAGCAACCGTTATCTCCATTGCCTTGTTCATCATAGCCATACTCTCTGTTCTTTCTTTTTGCCTCATATGGAAAAAGAAACCAAGAATATCCAAAACCTTGAGCCTTCCCATCATCCAAACCCCTCCTATATCAAAAGAGATCAAGGAGATCAGAATTGAGCATGTCACAAGCTTTGACCCTCACAAGAAAGACATCAATGAACCTGACAACTTCTTGCTTAATTTGGATATGGAGAAGAAGAGAAAGAACGGTGTAAGTAGCAGCCCATCTGGCTCAGGGGAAGAAGGTGGTTCTATGTGTGTTGCAAACATGTCTTCATCATCATTGTATGAGATGGCAACACCATCACCTCTCTCCGGTTTACCTGAGTCACACCTTGGTTGGGGTCATTGGTTTACTCTGAGAGATCTTGAGATAGCAACAAACAGTTTCTCACAAGAAAATGTGATTGGTGAAGGAGGATATGGAGTTGTATACAGAGGAGAGCTGACCAATGGAACTCATGTCGCTGTGAAAAAGATCTTGAACCATTTGTGAGTTATAATATTTGGTTTCAATATAAAGAGTTCTCTCCTTTTTGATTTTGTTAATTAAATATTCTGAAATTTTGGAATTTTGTAGGGGACAAGCTGAAAAAGAGTTTAGAGTAGAGGTTGATGCTATTGGTCATGTGCGTCACAAGAACTTGGTACGTCTTCTTGGTTACTGCATTGAAGGCACACACAGGTATAAAGATTTTGAGTTTTTCTATCTTTTTTTTAATATAGAAAAAAAAAGACAAATTAATTTGTGACATTTTTTTTTTTGCAATAAGGATATTGGTTTATGAGTATATGAACAATGGGAACCTAGAAGAATGGCTTCATGGAGCAATGAGACAGCATGGATACTTAACTTGGGAGGCAAGAATGAAAGTTCTCACTTGCACATCCAAGGCGTAAGCATAACATTCATTATTTTAAAAAATTTCTTATACGTTCTGCTTAGAGTAACGGTTTTTATCTACTGTGCAGTCTTGCCTATCTACACGAGGCAATAGAGCCAAAAGTAGTCCACAGAGACATCAAGTCCAGCAACATCTTGCTTGATGATAGATTCAACGCAAAGGTTTCTGATTTTGGCCTTGCCAAGTTGCTTGGAGATGGGAAAACCCATGTGACCACTCGAGTGATGGGAACGTTTGGGTATGTTGCTCCAGAATATGCGAACACTGGACTTCTGAATGAGAAGAGTGATGTGTACAGCTTTGGTGTGTTGATCTTGGAAGCAATAACCGGAAGAGATCCTGTGGATTATGCACGTCCTGCTAGTGAGGTAGATAAGACTTTTGAGAGATAAATGTATTTAAGGAGTTTTGAGAATTATAATACATTCTTTTGCAGGTGAATCTAGTTGAGTGGTTGAAGATGATGGTAGGATCTAAGAGGTTGGAAGAAGTCATTGATCCAAACATAGCGGTTAAGCCACCGACGAGGGCGTTGAAACGTGTTCTTCTTACAGCACTTAGATGCATTGATCCTGACTCTGAAAAGAGACCTAAAATGAGTCAAGTTGTGCGTATGCTAGAGTCTGAGGAATACCCCATACCAAGAGAGGTTTGTGTAGTTTACAACATTTTTCAATGAATGCAGAATATGTATAAGCATAAGCAAGAATTTAACTTAACAGGACAGGAGAGGGCGTAGAGCGCAAGAGGAAAACTCGGATACTGATAGAAGCACACCGGGTTCAAGAACACAGAGCAAGAGACTATAATAACCAGAGATCTTTGCTGGTGTGGCTTATTCTCAGTTCTTTGGAAGTTGTTTGTTTTCTTCTTCTGCATTTTCTTGTTCTTGTTTTTGGGATTGTACTTGTTTTATTTCTTCCGGGTTTGCATTTGAATGAACATATGATAGAGAGGGATATATTTAGATATGTATCATATATACCCACATGTTTGTATATGGAACTGGATTTGTACTGAAACATATCAGTATTAATAGTTTGGTTGTGTACAGCGAGTGTTTCTCTACCACACAAAAGTCTAAGCACTATTCACTTTGAAATCTTATTTGTACATTTTAGAAAGAGGAAGACTAACCTTTGTTTAAACTTGAATCTTTCTCTGAGTAGATGAGAGAACAAGTGGCTCTTCAATACAAGCAACAAAGAATGCTAGTAACTATGTAACAAAAAAAAAAGATAGAATTCTAGTTTTGCTTAAAGAGAAAAATTTCAGTTCTTATTAAGAAAAGACAAAGGAAATGCTAAAAAGAGGAGTTGATAACAAGCTCCATAAATAAAAAAAAAAATCATAACAAAGAGAGAACTCTCAACAATCTTTGCAAGAACATTCACCGTTTTTGAAGCGATGGAATCTCTTTGCATCTCTTACAATAATCTCCTTCCCTTTCACCTTAGAGAGTAGTTTGATTGCTGCATGGCAATCCTTACAAACTCTAAGGTTTTTCAAGACGTGGAGTGGTTTTCCTTCACGCAGCTTCAAGAGACCATAAGCCACCGCAAGTCTCTCGCTATGATATCCCTGGCTGCAATCAGGTTTATACCCAGCTTCTCTCAGTAACACATCCCATTCATCCAAAAACTTCATTATCGCTTCATGCTCTGGATGGTTACCACTAGTATCTCCCCTAGTGAACGCATGAACCTTATCTCCATCTTCAGTCCAGCTATAACCTGTTGACTTTCTTACACCTTTTCTCAGTTCTGAAACATCACCACCACGCCTTCCTTGAGATGCATCATCGTTTCTCCAGTCTTGAGGCATAGTCCAAGAGATGTTGTTGTTCATCTGGTCGAAGAGAAGCTGTGCCTCGCGAGGCATGGGGTTTGTGAAATACTCAGACACCATGGAGTTCCAGGAAGAGACTGAGTTAGAGTCACATGAAGCGAAAATCTTCCTGGTTTCATGAATTTGGATGGTACGTGAAAGATGAGTGATTTTGGCATTTGCACTGGGAGTGGTGCTTGAGCAAAACGCTTTACGTAGGAGTAACTGTGCCTTCATCCTCAAGAATCTCAAAATGCAACACAGCGATGAGTAAAGAGAGGTTCTGAGATGACACAAAGCAGAGCGCTATGTATATATTCTTTTATCCATATATATATTGCTCGAGATTTAGTAATCTTGCAGAACAAGAAATACTTAAAACAAGTTTTGATGAACATGGAAAGAGAATAAAAGCATTTGACCCAAGAAAAAAACAGAAAGAGAATATACTCACAGGAAAAAATCTATAGTAACTCGAATATTTTGAAAGTAAATGAGAGCAGCTAAGCATGGAAAAAAACTGAAAATGAAAAATGTTTAATTATATATATATATAACATAATCAAATATATGTTTAAAATTCTATTAAAAAGTATGCAACAGTATTTGAAAAATCTAAACTATCAAAAGTTTCCGAACTACTCAATGAATAATTTTATTGAGATATTCAAAATTAACTATCTATGGTTTTTATCCGAATCATCATAATTATTTGATATTTTAATCAAAATTCTCATATTTTATCTGAACTATTTGAATTAACCAAAATAATCAAATCAATCCAAAATTAAGTGGAAACCAATTTTTTCAAAGTATTAGAAGGTTTCTAATTTTACTATTTGGATCGATCCGGACTCTGAACTATCTAAACTGAAATTTGTCGATTTTTATATGGATCTTCTAATCCCTATTCGATACCCGACACGAACCATACCAAAAATGCCGATACCTAAGAGCAACGGTGAATCTAGAGGTGAAACGTTGTAATAAGCAACTGTAATATTTTTAAAAGATTTTTGGACTAGTCGAAACCAGAGAACCAAACACAATTACAATTTACAAGTCTTCTTAAAATGACACTTGGTAGAACCGTAGAAGCACACATCTCCTTTCTCTTTAGTGCAATTTAAAAAAAAAGTTACAATTAGATGTATAATCTCACCGGCTGCAAAAGAAATTAAACGGAGTTGGTGGCGTGGAGTATTGCATAGACAATACTTTCATGGCTACAATTGCGTTAGCCGTCTCAGTGTAATGTATTCCATCCCAGCTTATAAACCGAGACCCTTCGTCACAGCTATTAGACCCACCGTGCCCACACGTTATGTTCACGTTATAGTTGTAAGGAGGCCCTCCGTATCCGCAACACGCCATTAACGGTTTCTCAAAGCCTACACATATATGAATGAACTAAGACGACATAAACAGCGTAACCAGATACTAATGGTGTTTACTAATATATATATATATGCTTTAAAAACTTACCGTAGTTGGTTGAGTTTGCGATGAGATCATACTTGATTGAATAAATGTCGACATAGACTATGTCAGCATCTCTCAGCTCGGTTCTCATCTCCCGACACATATGATCCAACCCTTCGTTGAACAACTTTGAGGCTGAGTTATAAACCGATAGACAACCGTTTTTGTCAAAATCTTTGCTCTGAACCATTGAGAGTTTCTGAGGCAGACAACCTAAAGGTCCTGTATTGTGAACCCAGAACTTCCTCCCTCCTTCATCATACAATGTCTGTAATTTTTTTCAAGTTTCTCCCAAAATCAATACTTACTCAACTGAACCTAGAGTGTCACACTTCTATATGCGAAATTTCTGACCTTAATTGCACTCTTGATCTCGGAAATAACGTTTGGAATATGCTTGACGACCTGAGAGTAAGAGAAGCCTTTGGAAAATGAATCTGCGATATCATTTTGCCCGATATCGATCATGTACAATGCGTTTCTGAATCCACTCTCAGTTATCATCATCTCTTTCAAAGGATCTGCAAAACAAATTAAATGCGTTTTACAATGTAACGGTACGTTGACTGATAAAGAGTTGGTTGGGACTTGGGATTAGACCTGAGGTGGAAACAAGCTCTAGTGCTCGGGATTTGAAATGAAGGAACTGCATGAGCTGAATGTTGAGGACGAACGGAACATATCTAGGAAGAGTGGTTGATCCAACGATGGCGAAGTTAACGCCGTTTTGGAACTTTGATCCAACCATTGAGTCTAAGTATGGGTTTAGCAGACTTGTATTCAAACTCTGGCCTGCAAATATTTCAATTTTCTATTCATTAAATATCAACAGTTAGATACAGAAGTTGCGCTTTAATATTTCTTGTCCGAATATGTCAGAATTTGAATCTGAACATCGATATAAACAACGTTAATTATGAACTCGATTAATTAAGACTGTTAAGACATTAACTAGCTAGTATAAGACAAATTAATATATTAATATGATACGGACAAAGAAAAACACATCAGGGCACGGCGCTCTTTGACTCTTTAGTCACGCAATAGGTGGAGAACACGCGCCGAATCTAAAGAGTGGGACCTGTTTCCCATGGTACTTTGATCTTCCATGTCGTGAAAAGGGACCCACTTGTCTTTTTATTAGATTTCATCATTTCGAGTTTCGACGAGTTGTGTCGTCTTGTGACATCACGTAACGCGATCACCGACATCGATTCTCGAGCGCGGTTTTCAACCGTTGATTATCATTTAACCCATTTCATCTGACGGTGGATATTCAACCGTCGAATAATTACGTGAGTTAAACAAGAGTGAAGAGAAGTTAACTTACAGAGGAAATCAATTATGAGTCGACCGTCGGATAATCGTCCGGTGGATCGTCGGAAAAATGAGCGGCCGTTTGGGAGACCAACGGTATAACCTAGTCCAGCGACGAGTCCACCCGTGTCAGAGTTAGAATCTCCGAAGTTAAAGATCACCGGAGGATATTGGCATCCTCCAGCCAAAGCCAAGTGTTGTCGGAGACTCATGAGGATCACAAACAGGAGACTAAGGAAGAAGAAGGCATGGGAGTGAAGAGAGACAGTAGCCATTTGAAGAAATGGGTGATCGCTAGTGTGAAGTGAGAGCTTTGTAACTAAAATGGTAAGTCTTAGACTCTTAGTGTGGGCCTTCTTCATCTGTAGTGTGATGATGCTTTATATTGAAGAGTGAAGACTTTGTAAGTTGGTGGTTGATACTGACATAAAGGCTCAAGCTATTAAAGATTAGGCATATGCGATCGAGTCCAACAAAAACTCCCACTGTTGGAAAAAAAGTATGTGGGCTCTAGTGTGGGTCTAGTTAAAGGCCCATTATTATCAGCTAGCCTAAGATTTTATTTAACCCACGGGCCACGACGAGATAAACCGTATTTGGAGCTCTGCATAGAGATGCTAATCATTACGTAGATATGCATATGCATTCATATATATCCAAATCTTAAAAACCGAAAGTTTCTCTTTTACGTAATAATGAAAAGATGAGATCGAATAAATTTTACACTGGAAGCCAACAAAGAGGCACGAAAATCATTTGGACGTCATCGCTAGCTTGTATGACTCATGCAAATGGAGCATTAATCATAATTATTCATCTTCGGTTTGAAAAGCATTCCGTATGAAACCACTCAAATCCAGCTAATTGTGAAGCATCGATAAGTTTTCTTAAATTTAACAACACACAGTTCTAATGAATTTCCGAAAAAGTAACGTTTTTTTTTGTCTGCATATGTTGTTAATTCAGGTTTTTTGGCCGGCATCAATGTTCTTTTTCATATTACTCTATGTTTCATTATAAGTGTTATTTTAGTTTTATACATACGGATTAAGTAAATATTAATTTTACATATCTTTTATATAAAAACACAATCACTTATGAATCTAACCATATTTCAACCAATAAAAAATTAATTGATAAAATTAATAAATTTTGCATTAAAAACCAAAAACGACACTTATTTTGTAACAAAAAAAATTCTATTGTAACACTTAGTATGAAATGAAGGGAGTATAAAATTAGAAAGTTCATCTTTTGCAATTAGAAAAAAATGTTTTCTGCAAAAAAAAAAACCCTAATGTAGTTCTTTTTTGCAAATTAAACTGTGAACTCAAAAATCCACGAGTCAATCCTTCAAGTGCCAGTGAATCCGTAATATAATCCTCGACCGTGTATATGTGTTGAATGTGTATAATTTTAACTTTTACGTCGTTTTGGCTATAATTTTAACGAAAAAATTTGTGCACGTCTGAGTTCGAACTTTGAACCTTATACACAACGAAACTATATATATTTCTAAATTTATTCCGATTTTGTTTCTTATTTTTTCCTTGGACATGGGAGTTTGTGTAATGAATGTGGGGGTCGTCTTTCGATTGTTACTGAAACATTTATTTTCTCGATTCTATTTACTTATACAGTAAAACTTCTATAAATTAAAAATGCTGGGAATTTAAAAATTTATTAATTTATAAAAAAGTCCTTATTTAGATTTTTTATTTTAAAATATATTTATTATAAGATAAAAGTATTTGATTTTAATGTATAGACATTAATTATTATTTAAAAAAAAATTACATTTATATTCATTTTATTATATTATTTTATGTAAATAATATATATTGTATAGAATTTAAATGTGGTTAAGATATAATTTTACTAAAATCTCATCAAAAATATATTAAGTGTTAAGAAAATATAAAATAATTTCATTGTGAATAAAAAATATAATGATAGGTTCTTACTTATATAAATATGAATACATATAAAATTATTAATTTATAATTTTAATGGGTATTTACATATTATTTTCTAAAAAAACATTATCTTATTATTTTATCGATTTATGTCAAATTTTGAACCTGTCCAATTCGGGACCAGTGAAAATTATTAATTTATAGATATTAGTAATTTATCGAATATTAATTTATAGAAGTTCTACTGTAGTTATTTTTTCACATGCATGTTTTGAACAATAATCGAAATGAGATTCTTGTTTCCGGCTCATCTCAGCATTCTTCTTCGAGTGTTTTATCGTGACCAGAGCAAAGAAGAAATAATTGATGCACTCCCATGACCATAGAAATAATGTACTCCCACGATGACACAGATCGATAAAATAATAAAATAATATTTTCTTAGAAAATGCTATGTAAATATATGGTCCCATTAAAATTATAAATTAATAATTTTGTATGTATATATACATATTTATATAAGTAAGAACAATCATTATATTTTTTTTTTGTTTTATATTCACAACGAAATTATCTTTATATTCTTTTAACACTTAATATATTTTTGATGACATTTTAGTAACTTTATATCTAAAACCACATTTAAATTCTATACAATATATATATATATATATATATATATATTACTCCCTCCGTTTCAGAATATATGTCATTCTAAACTTATTTTTTTGTCACAAATTAAGTGTCGTTTTAAAGTTTCGAGGCAAAATTTATTAGTTTTATATAATATTTTTTTCTATTGGTTGAAAAGTGGTTAGGTGTACAGGTAATTGTGTTTTTATCTTGAAAATATGTAAAATTAAATATTTCCTTAATCTGTGTGCAAAAACCTAGAATGACAACTAAATTGAAACGGAGGGAGTATATACATCAAATAATATAATAAAATTAATATGAATTTAAAACTTTTTAAAATAATAATTAATGTCTATACATTAAATTCAATTGTTTTATCTTAGAATAAATATATTTTAAAATAAAAAAATCTAAATAAGGAATTTTTTGTAAATTAATAAAATTTTAAAGTCCCAAAATTATTAATTTATAGAAGTTTTATTGTATAAGTAAAGAGAACCGAAAAAGTAAATGTTTGAGTAACGATTTAAGGATGACCCCCATATTCATTACACAAACTTTTATGTCGAGGGAAAAAATAAGAAACAAGGTCATTTCGGAATGAATTTAGAAATATATATAGTTGCATTTGTTAAGTGTATATACATATCCGTTAGCTGAAATGGTTATGTGTGATGCAGATTGTGTATAAGGTTCAAGGTTCAAACCCAAACCTGCTCAAATTTTCTTCATTAAAAATTACAGTCAAAACGACGTAGTATTGATAAATGTTAAAATTATACACAGTCAAATACAAATATACACGGTCAAGAGTTATATTGCGGTTTGATAAATGTTAAAATTATACACAGTCAAATACAAATATACACGGTCAAGAGTTATATTGCGGTTTGACTGGCACTTGGAGAGTTGACCCGTAGATTTTTGAGTTTACGGTTTAATTTGCAAAAAAGAACAACACTGAGGGTTTTTTTGCAGAAAACCCTTAGAAAAACTATGGTAGTCTTAGACCATTAAACATTACATTTCTATGTTTTTCTTCTGAAAATGTAACTCTAAAATTTAAGTGAATTTCAGTCCTATGTATTTTTCTATTTTAGAAAAAATGCTATTTATACTATTTTAATAGATCCTTTAAGCCAAAATAAATCTCCTAATACTTTTTTGTCAGCATAAATGTCCTAATATATATATATATATTTTGTAAGACATGTTTTATTCAAAATAAATGTTTTATTCTACAGTTTCAGTGTTGAATTTTTCTTCTTTTTATATATATTTTACAATTAATCGTAGTTATATTTGTGATTTGAATAATTCATTAATCAATTTACATATTGAGAGTACTTTATTGAATATCAACTCAAAATACTTAGATGATATTAGTTTAAATAATTAGTTCAGTTTGGTTAATCAAGCGATAAACCAAACCCTTGAGTGAATATTACAGAAACGAGTTTTAGCCAGGGGCGGATCTACAGTCTGTAAGGAGGGGGCAGTTGCCCCCAGTAAAAAGTACAAATTGTTTTATGTGCACCTAAGATTCTAAGGATTCTCCAGCTCAAGTGGTGAAATCCTTCATTTTGCCCCCACTGGTCTACAGTTCGAAACTCAAATTGGCCCCTTTTATTGTGTTATCTGGTTTTATTATGATTTTCTTTTTCTTATACCCTTTGTTTTTGTCCCCCTGTCGTATCCATTGTTTTCTTCATGTTGCATTTACTGATTACTTTATTACTTTTGTTCATTAGATCTTTGTCATTCAAATTATAATATCTTTTCTTAACAATTTATTTCATTATTCTGTGTTTTATTTTATTTTTTATAAACTTATTATTATTCTTAAAAAAATATTTTAACTGTATTAGTTTAATTTTTTCTTTACAAAATAAAATTATTTATGTAAGAATTACATGTTTTGCCCGCACATACGACATAATTAAAAAAACACACAATAAGTTATGATTTATGTTTTTAATATTAATTATAAGTGACAACTTTTACATAGCAGAATATTTTAAAATATATTTTTACAAATGCTTTGCTTGATTTATATTAATTAAACTTTTAAATCTTATTTTTTCTATAATAGAAAAATATTTTTTCAAGATAATATTATTAATGTAAATTTGTTTTTATTCTCTAATAAATTATATATGAAAATTATTAAAAATAGGAAAAATAAGAAAAATCATCTAAATCATGGAGAAATTACAAATCAGTAAATTTACTTAAATTTTATAATAGAAAATATATTTACAAGATAACAATCTAATATGTGTTAAAAATAACAATCTAATACATAATAATTATCTTATTTTTAAAAAATATAATATTATTAATATAAATTCATTTTTGTTATGTACTAAATTATATATGAAATTATTAGAAGATAATAAATAAGCAAAATTTCCTAAAATTATGAAAAGTTAACAAATCAACATTGCTTAATTTATATTTACTTATAATTTTTATTTTAATTTTTTAATTTCTATAATAGAAAATAGATTTTCAAGATAAAAATATAATATTTAAAAATTATCTTATTTTCTAAAAATATAAAATTATTAATATAAATTTGTTTATATTATATAAGAAATTATATATAAATCATTAAAATATGTAAAATAAACAAAATTATCTCAAATTATGAAGAGATTGACAACTAAGCAAAATTATTTCTCAAATAACTCAAATAATAATATAGATATTAAATAACTATAAATATAATGTATTAATTAATTAATTTAATATGCCCCCATATTATTATTTTTCTGGATCCGCCACTGGTTTTAGCAAAGGCAAAATGATTGCTTGAAGCTTGAGAAAGACATTCATACATGCGTGCTACTTCCATTCATTCACAAGCTCCACCTAACCCATGAATAAACGGAAACCGAAAAAGAGTTCAGAAAGACAAAATTATATTAAAGCTATTTTTTTTAAAAAAACGCCAATTTGGAATATATTAGTAATCATCAATAAGAAAAGTTGAATAAATTGCCATAAATATCAAATGATACATATCACCAACTGTTTCGTGTGTCCTATGCCCTAAAAGAGAGCACATGTGTTACAAGTAAACTTAATTCTCGAACCGTTTCTCACCTTTCTGTTTAAAAACATCTCTCTGTACATATATATAATTTTATTTATATGTATTATATATATATACTGTATACACATTTAATATATACATTTGGGCCTATAAATACAAGGTCCAATGAAAGGAAAGATATATATATTTCTTTTAGCTCTAAAGAACCATCCTCTCTCTCTCTCTCTCTTTTTTTTTAACTTGGTTTCTCGAACTATTTTTATTGATAGGTAACAGTGAGAGAAACATACATATAGAGAAGTATAAAGATGGTTAAATCGAGAGACTTGTTGCCGTCCTTGGCGATGGTATTGGTGCAAATCGGCTACGCAGGCATGAACATTACGTCGAAGATGGCTATGGAAACCGGCATGAAGCCTCTCATTCTTGTCGCTTACCGCCAAATCTTTGCCACTATCGCCACCTTTCCCGTCGCATTTTTTCTTGAACGGTACGTACTAATTAAATTCTGTTACATGTGAATTGGTCAACTAACGATTTTGGACGTGCATAATTATATGTCTAACACATTTCATTCATGAAATGTTGAATTTGTGTGTTTTTTCTTAATAATATTGTTATAAATTATGTTTAGTTCTATTAGTTTTTTGAGTTTCGAATCAATTAATGTTTCGTGTATGATTTACAAATATCAGCGACTGATACTAAACTTTCGTTGTCAATTCCTTAGCTGAATTTTTTTTTTTTTGGTTGAAGTTAACATCTAAAAGTGATTTTCAAGCTCGCCTTACGTATAACTGAGAAAGTACAGAACGATTGTAGAACGATTTTACCTCTTCGCCTTTTCTGGCATCAAGAAAACTAATTTTTCCAAAGTTTTACAAAAGACAATATACTTTTAATTAATTTTTGTTTTGACTAAAGGCCAGAAATAATATATTTTCTTAGTTTTTATTTAATGGAAGTTAATTAGTTGCCAACTCATTTTAAATGTGGAAAATTAATTGACTAATATCCATTCAAACTAATAACAGTTAATTAAAATTTGACCAGACAAAAGTCTTAAATGTAAGCAATACTACATGTATTTTTTATAACATTGTGAGAGAGTTCAAGATGATAGAAGAAGGAAATACAAAAGAGATAACAGTTAATTATGGTAAACTATAGATCTTTAATGACTGACGATTTACCGTTATTTTAACAGTCTCTCTGGTCATCTAGTATAGTCATAGTCATTTTGTCGAATTATACGTAATTAATTACATCATCATGATTTTCGGTTTTCGAGAGAATGAGAAAAGTGACGCACTCTCACACAATCCATGCGTCACGTTTCTTTCTTAAACGGAAAGCACAAACAGACAAACAAAACATGGTGCCAGGAGAATTAAGCGTCTGTCACGTGCTATACGACGACGTTTGCCTGTTTCCATGTTTTCTCATCATTCATTAGTTCTAGAATTAAGATGTGAATTTGATTGTTAAATCCTTTTAACACTGATTCATTTGGGATGAATAAACTATGTTTCATCATCATCATCATCACATTTGATGTTAACGAATTAATTGATTAATGAAAACAATATCTCGTTCATGGTCTCTTGTGCAGTAAAACAAGACCGAAGATCACGCTAAGGGTTCTTGTCCAAATCTTCTTCTGCTCCATCACGGGGTATATACCTATTACCAACCGCAATATCATTTTAATTATTAATACTTATTTTAAACAAGTAACGACTTCTTAGCAGTTAGCATAACAAACAATGTTTTAAGAAAACAGAGTTCTTATAACGTGGTTTATCTTGATTTTCATCGCAGTGTGACAGGGAACCAAGTGCTCTACTTCATAGGACTTCAGAATTCATCTCCCACCATTGCTTGTGCCTTAACTAATCTCTTACCGGCCGTCACTTTCCTCCTCGCCGCAATCTTCAGGTTCTATATACAATTACCCTTAATAAAGTTTCCATCATATACTAAACTTGTTAGTGGTCACTTTTTTTAAACGCAAAACAACATTTTCAGACAAGAAGCTGTAGGGATTAGAAAGGCATCAGGACAAGCCAAAGTGATAGGGACAGTAGTGTGTGTGGCAGGAGCCATGGTTCTTTCCTTCTACCATGGTCACACCATTGGTATTGGAGAGTCCAAGATCCATTGGGCTTATGCTCAAAACATCACTAACCATGGTTCCGGTTCCAATGGTTCTAACTTCTTATTGGGGCCTTTCATGATCATGGCTGCTGCCGTTTCTTGGGCCGTTTGGTTCGTTATTCAGGTAACATGTTCAATCTAGAAAAAAACAACCTGAACCCAACTGAAATAGCAGATACCTAAAATCGAACTAATTTTTTTTTTTTTTTTTTTTGTCAACTAAAATCGAACTAATTTAAAATTTGGCTATTGCCAACTTTTTTTCGTTGTTAATAATCACTATATATTTTTTTGTATACCTTCATTTATCTTGTACATTTCTGAAAATTAAACTGTCAGTAGAACTTAATGAGTTGAGGTTAGTCAAAATTCTAATTAGTTCGATCTAGGAATTAGTTAATGGGATGTCAAAAAATTTATTACAAAAACTAAGGTGTCAGGTTGGACTTGAACTTGGGTTAATAGGATGTCAAGATATGGATTTAACCAAAAATATCAAGATTTTTTATGATTTTACATGTAAATTGTTTTTATATAGATTCAAGGGGTGTCATGTGAGACCCCTTTGTCCTTAATACATCCGCCACTGTAAGTATCATAAGGTATACATATTATTATGGTAACGGTTGATTAATTTTTTTCTTTTTTGCAACAGACGAAAATGAGTGAAACATTTGCAGCACCATACACAAGCACACTTCTAATGTGTTTGATGGGAAGTATCGAATGTGGAGGCATCGCTCTGATCTCCGATCACAACCTCGCTGATTGGTCTCTCAGCTCTCCTCTCCGCCTCATCTCTGCCCTTTACGCCGTAAGTCCATTCAACAAAATACATACTATGCTTAGAAAATAAAATTGTTAAACAAAATATGTTTGATAATTAATTTTAAATACAGGGCGTGGTGGCGTCTGCGTTAGCATTCTGTTTAATGTCATGGGCGATACAGATAAAAGGTCCTCTTTACGTGTCTGTTTTTAGCCCTTTACTGCTCGTTGTTGTCGCCGTTTTCAGCTGGACTCTTCTTGAAGAGAAACTCTACACCGGCACGTATGTTTCTATGCTCTGCTCTCTCTTTATAAACATTAATATATAACCTCATGATAATGATCATTTAGATGATATGTGTGTATTAGGTTTTTGGGATCAGCACTTGTGGTTATTGGGCTGTATGGCGTTTTGTGGGGGAAAGACAGAGAGATGAATGAGAACCAAGACCAAGAAGATAACCAAAAGAAGGTGAAACAACAACACATAGTCAAAACTGATTTTAAAGAAGATATTGAGTCGAGATTGCCGGTGAGAGGAGAAGGAGGAGCTTCAACATCATCAGGTAGTGGCAACGGTCACAAGACCTGTATCGCCTTAAAAAATTGATGCTTCTTCATCATATGCTATGAGTGTTATGAAATTTCTTGCTAAGCAACTAAATTGGTATCCATATATATATATTCCCGGACCGATTAACATTTGCAATACCATTTTGAGGCCAGTGATGGAATGTTAAAATGAATGTTATCGGTGTGCTCATTCCATGGAACACTACAAATGTTATATTCTGATCTCTCTATTCCATAGTTTTATTGTTCTCAATCTTCACGCGTTCCCATTAGTTATTGGTATTATAATCAAATTAGAGGTTCCGTTTCATCGTTGGATTAATGTGGATGCTTTTTTTGTTTCCACGTAGGTCTCTGGCCACATAATCTCACAAGATAATTTTTGGTAGCATATTTAAGATACTTGACCGTTTTGATATTGGATTAGATGATAAGAGCCATTATAAATAAATAAAATAAGATAAAATCGTTCAAGAAAAAAAAGGAGAATAATTTCTTACAACAAAATTGCAACAAAAAAGAAGAAGATAAAGCAATTATGGCCAAACTATATACTATCATTTATGAAAATTGATTTAACTTCAATGAACATGTGTGTTAATAGAGATTTGCAATAGAAAGAGAGAATTGTGATAAAGAAGCTCCTGAATACAATATTTTGATTATAATATCTGTGGAAACGTTTGTTTATATTATCAATACTTCAACAATCATACTATGAAGAAACCATATGACCAAGGATTTTTTCCAAGGCTAGTAAAACATTTGTCTCTCTGTTTTTCTCAGTCATCGGATTGATATTATAACCGGGCACATTAAAATCCGTCTTACATTCTTCATCAGCACTAGAAATACCACTCAAGCGTGAGGTGATCTCAGCGTACTGTCCACTGTTAAAAAGAGATACAGAATTCGTGAACAATGAGTTCATAATAGCGTAACCATCAGCACATTTTTCCACAAAGGGTCTCTGGTTTCCAGAATGTAAAAGGAGCGAGCTGATGAAGAAATACGAATCGTCTAATATTTTGTGTGCTTCTGTCACTGTCACATTCAAGAGATCATTGACACTTGGGGAAGTAGCCTTGGCAAGGATCCCATTGCAGAATTTGATGTCTATTGTCTGTTTGCAGATTTCGTCGACTGTTTGTTGAGTGTTCGCTTCTCTGACGGAGCAAACGAGTGTAATCGCCAAAAATATCAAAAGAATGCGAGACATTTTTATTTGTTTCTTTTTGGTTTGTGAGTTATGAGTCGGTGGTGGTTTCAGAATTATTCTAATGCTATCTTTTATATTTGAAAATTAGGCATCTTAATAAATTAGCAAATATTCAAAAGATTTTTTATGGGTGCATATCTCTATATCTATGGGTACAAATCTATATACATTGAAAACCCTATAAATTAATAACTAGACCTTGACCCGTGCGGTCGCACGGGTATTAATTTTATTTTGTAATTTTTATATTAGAGGAATTTTTTGTAAAAATTAATTGTATTACATTAAGTTTTTTTTTGTGCGTTAACAATTTATTGTATCAAAAATATTGGGTACCATACAAACAAATCTAACATGTAGACGATATATTGAAAATATTTTTCAGTTAAAGATACATCAAATCTTGAGAAGTAAAGATAAATTAGTTATAACATTTTAAGAAAAAGCTTGATGTTCAAATTATATAAATTTTTTAATATATAAAACATTTGGATTGAAATTTTTAAAATAAAAAATGAAGTATCAATTAAATGGTTACAAATTAATTATGGGTTTAATTTTGACAGAAGAATACCGAAAATTTTGTTGTTTGATCCGTGCAAGTGTTTGTTTTTATATATTTTATAAGTGATAATATATATTTCTAAATTTACCCATTAAATTATTGTTTAAAACGACATTTTAAACACACAATTTTATTGTTTATATTGAGTAATTTTATTTTATCTTATAAGCTATCATTGTGTCATACTTATTTTAAAATTTTGACCCGTATATCTGCAAATTTTTTTTTTATCGATCAAAATTTTATGATAATGTATAACTAAATTGTTGTATCTACTATTTAAAATATATGGTCCTATATATTTCTACCTTTTTAACTTTTATTATTCTGAATTTACCTTGAACTATTATTAATATAAAAATATACATAACATAATATGTTTATATTAATCTATGTATTATATATTATATAAATGTTTCTTTTTGTGACTTTTATTTTAGTTATTACTTATAAATAATAAAAATATAATTATATATCTTTGAAAAAAATATTATTAATTAACTATTTAAAGATATGAAAATAATTAATAAGAAAAAAAATCCTAAAAGGTAGGTTAATTAATATTGGAATTAATTATTATGTATTTGGAATTAGTAAAACAATTTCTATAGAATTTATTTATTTAATTACGAAAGGTATATATGAAAATAATTATTTTCATTAATTATTGTTGCCATAATTTTTTTTTTAGTTAAAATTTGATTTTGGAAATGCATTAATTAAAGTGAAAAGACAAAGAATCCTATAAGGTAGGGTAATTAATAACTTCAGTGGCATGCTATTGTAAATAAAAGTGAAAACTAAGGGGTATTTTATATGGGTACTTCTCTTTTAATAATATATAGATATTATGACTATAATATTTTATTAATTTTTAGAGTTACTAATTTAAAAAAAAATATTTTATATTTTTCTATTTATAAATATTTTTTTCCAAAGTAAGAAAATATTTGATTTTAGTGTATATACATGAATTAATTTTCAAAATTCATTACCCATCTTGGTGTTATTATATTATTTATTGTATATAAAATATTTTTTATAAATTTTGAATATGCTTTTAGATATAATTTTATTAAATCTCATCAAAATATTAAGCAAAATTAAATATAATTCTATTATGAATAGAAAATAAAAAATATAATTTTTTATTAGTACTGTATACATATAAAATATTAATTTATAATTTTAATGAGACTATATATTTACATATAATTTTTTAAAAATATATTATATTATCAATTTGGATTTTATTTTGAATTGGTTCAACTTAGAACCAGAACAATTTATGATATTTATTAATATACCAACAATTAATTTATATAATCTATATTATAATAGTACACTTTCTAGGCTCCACAACGCGCCACGTCAGCAGTTTTGTGGGTTTCATAGGTATTTTTTTAAAAACTTATAGTCTTGGTAAGATGATTACAAACAATGAAATACACTTTAGCCAAGTGGTATAAGGTGTCTAAGTAAGCATGCAAGATCGTGGGTTCAAACCACGCAGCCATCATTTATTTTTGATTTTTTTATTTGGGTTATTATCATATGGGTTTTTTGTTTGTAAGGTTTTTATGATTTTTTTTTATGACTTATTGTTTTAAAGATCGAAATAGTTGGATAAACCCTAAAGCTTAACGAGTTCAAACTAAAAATAGTTAAAAATGGATGCAAAAACGAACAATAAAAAAAACAAGTCTCACGCGGTTGCCTACTCGGATGGCTTAAAGAGCCTTAAAACTATCCTATTATAATATAGTTCAACCCAAAAATAATAAAAAATGAATCCAAAAACGAACCGACCAAAAAAAAAAAGTGAATCCCACGCGGCTACCTATGTGGATGGCTTAATGAGGCTTAAATAATATAGATTAAGAGCTCAAAAAGTGAAATCACTGCACATATTTCCTAATATATATTTTCAAAAAAATTGGATGTGAGATAAAAAAAAAAAAAAAAGAAATTTAATTATTTTCGTTATTTATTTAATGAATATGTAATTTCTCTTACATTTTAATAACTACTATAATTTCATTGAAAATATTCCTCACCACCGATTTTAGACTCCGGCGAATGGATTCCCACAGTCGATGACGCCGTAAAAAAAATGCCACATCATTTATGAACAAAACTCAAACTTACAAAAAAACATATATAAAAACCTATCTAATGAAACTTAAACAACGAATGTTAACTTAATTAAGGTTATTTTCAAATTGATAAATCGTTTAATACAAATATAAATACTATAAATATAGAATTACATCAAGTTTTGACCTACAATATAAAAACCATTTACAGCAAAAACAAAACACCTACTTTTACACACTAAAAACTATATTATAGCCTAACTATTCCTATAAAATTACTTCGCATATAAATAACATTTAACTCATTCCTAATATATTTTCAAAAAAATTGTATGTGAAATAAAATAAAATAAACAACAAAGTTTAAGTATTTTTCGTTATTTATTAAATGAATATGTAATTTCTCTTACATTTTAATAACTACTATAATTTCATTGAAAACATTCCTCACCACCGACTCTAGACTTCGGCGAATGGATTCCTCGATGACGCCGTAGATAAAAATTCCCCATCATTTATGAACAAAATCCAAACTTACAAAAAAACATATATAAAAACCTATCTAATGAAACTTAAACAACGAATATTAACTTAATTAAGGTTATTTTTAAATTGATAAATCGTTTAATACAAATATAAATACTATAAATATAGAATTATATCAAGTTTTGACAAACGATATAAAAACTATCTACAACAAAAAAAAAAAAAAATAAACACCTACTTTTACACACTAAAAACTATATTATAACCTAACTATTCCTATAAACCTTACTTCGCATATAAATAGCATTTAACACATTAGATATACAATATTTTCACTTTACACTCTTACTACATTCTTTCCATTTCATTAATATTTGGTGTCATTAGAAGAATCCACCAAACCACTAAATCGAAAAAAAATATACGCAAACATAATGATTCCGGCCCCGCGCTTGCGCGGGGAGTATGCAACTAGTTATACTATATTATACTCTTGATTGCGTGTTCTGTCTTTTTTTCAGAAGTGATTACATGATTTATCACCTTTTCCCTAAAATGACAGCAATATGTACCATGTCAAGAAAAGAGAAAATTTGGAAAAAAATATATTTAGATGACATCATATTTTGAAAATTACACTAAATTTTTATTTTTTGAATACTACACTTATTCATATGTGAAATTATTAAACTGTCTACGTTTAATGTTTATAGTATCTAATATCTAATTTAATATATCAATTTAGAACAGAAAATACATATTTAAAAAAAAAATGAAAACCAAATTACCAACATTGCGTCCCAAGCACTTCCTTATTCATAGGATACAACAAACAAAACGGACGCGAAAAATTTCAACGTCACTGGCGTCAATTTTTTTTATGTCTCCAACATTCAATCCGCGTTGTTTTGATTTTCAATTCTGTTTTTTTCTTTGTCTCCGTTGCCGTACTTTTTGAACGCTGCGGCTGAAAGCGGAGATGATGAAACGAACATGGCTAATGTTGATTTTATATGAGATTCTCTTTAGAACAAAGTGACTCTCAAAGTATCTAGAACCCAATGAGTAGAAACCTCAAGCAAAACCCTGTAAAAGTACCTTTAAGATCAGTTTTAATGAAAGTAAAACTTTATTGCTAAACTAGTGGTATTCCGGCGCTAGGCGCCGGGTTTATATATTTTATTTTCTCTAATGAATCCGAAATTATTTATAATTTTGAAATTACCAGTATTTATGAATAATCTCTTACATCATGTATGTTTCTTCTTTTAGATGATTCGTATGATGTTGTCGGGAGTTCTTACATTTTGGTGGTCGATACGAGTTTCTAACAAACGTTTAATGTGTTTTGTAGTTATTGAATATTCTTTATTTTTGTTGTTCGTCAGGATATATCATGTATGCATTATGGGAGGTTGCATTATATTTTATTATACTATATCTGCAAAAGTATCTAGTAGAAAGTGGAGGTTTCTGTTTCTAAATTTCTAACGTTAATTGGTCTTTATTTGCTTGTTGCTGATTTTTGAATTGTAAATTTACTATGATGATGGATTAATTATAGATTTGATTTTTGGTATACTTTTGTAGTTTTACAGTCGTATAATTGTCTTGGTTGAATATGAGTGTGTAGTGAAAAAGACAAATAACATGTGACAAAAAGGGTAACCATTTATAACTTTTACATTTTCTTTTGTTTGTTCTGGTTATGGCTGTTGTATTAATGGTTAGTGATAATTCTCTTAATTTTCATTAATGTAGGAGTTAATTGCATGTGGATTTTGGAGCTTAAATTGTAGGCGATTTGAGGTGACTGATGAAAAAGTGATAGGGTACGGAAACAGATTTATTTA